ACAAATTTATTTTGACCACTGCCCATCAACACACAATATTACGACAATCAAATTTACTTAAGCACAAAAAAATATTCCACGAAGTCTTCAAGGATTACTTATGTGAAAAGTGCGCAAAGAGATTCGGAAATAAACGAAGCTTGCTTATGCACATAAAGACAGTACACGATGGTCGCAAGGATTTCTTCATCAAAGTCCTTGAAGATTATTCACGTGACAATTACGAGAAGAAATTTAGACAAAAATGCAATTCGCTCTTACATACGAAAAAAGTCCACGAAGGTCAGAAAGATTACACGTCCAAGTGCGAGACGAAATTTGGACTAAAATCAAATTCGTCGAAACACAAACAGACAGTACACGAAGGCCAAAAAACTTTAGTATGCAATAAATGTGAGAAAAAATTTGGAAAAAAATTGCATTTGCTCTTACACCAAAGAAGTGTACACGAAGGTCGCAAAGATTATGCGTGCGACAAGTGCGAGAAACAATATGGATATAAGTCAGATTTGTTGAAGCACCAAAGGACAGTACACGAAGGTCGCAAGGATTTCGCATGCGATAAGTGTAAAAGTAAATTTACGCGTCGTGTAGATTTGTTAAAGCACCAAAGGACAGTTCACGAGGGTCGCAAAGATTACGCATGTGACAAGTGCGAGAAAAAATTTGGACTAAAATCGGCATTAGTCAGACACCAAAGAACAGCCCACGAAGGTCGCAAAGATTATCCATGCGACGAGTGTGAGAGGAAATTCGGACGAATATCGCATTTGCTCGTACACCTTAGAACTGTACACGAAGGTCGCAAAGATTATGCGTGCAACGAGTGCGACAAAAAATTTGGAACCAAATCAGATTTATCGATGCACCGACGACTAGTACATGAGGGTCGTAAAGATCACGCTTGTGACAAGTGTGAAAAGAAATTTGGAAAAAAATCGAATTTGCTCGATCATATAAAAACAATCCACGAAGGTTGCAAAGATTTCGCATGTAACAAGTGCGGGAAGAAATTTCGAGAAAAATTAAAATTAATAAGACACCAAAGGACAATGCACGAAGGTCAGAAAGATTATTCGTGCGACAAATGCGAAAAACAATTTGGATACAAAATGAGCTTGTCAAGACATCAAAAGATAGTACACGAAGATTTTTCACCGTAAGAAGGCACACCAGGCTGCAAATATATTAGGCTTGTAGCATACGCGACAAGTAATTATGATTGACAATTGTATAATATGTAGGTACTTATACATATGTTGAAGCACAAAATTTCAATAAAATTGTGCCAAAATTATTTAATCTCACCTGATTTTACTTAAATTTGTATCATTACACCCATGTGTCAATGCCACAATGGTGTTTTCAGATTTCATTATGCAACTATCAGATCAGAGTTTGTTTCTTATTTTAAAATGTAAATAGGGCGAGGATTGAGTAGGCTTCTCGATTTTCGATAAAGCTCTGAATTGATCAAACACGCGCTATAGCTAAAGATTTTGAATGCTAAAGATTTCGATGAACATGTTGAATACCGATTACTTTGCCAAAAGGGACGCGATGGAGAGTAACAATAATTTTTTACTGAAAAAAAACCAAAGTGAAAAACCATTCATCAATATTAGTAATTTTACCAATCCAAAATCTTGCATCGAAGCTCTTCGAATTTGCGTGAATTTCGCACTTTTCATAATCCGCCACTGAAAACGGTGTCATCCGAACACACCGCAATAATTATTAAAGTGAAAAAAACATCATTTTTTTCTTCCCCCCCTTTTTTTTCAATTATCGAGCCGAGCATTACGAAGCTTTGTAAAAAAGTACACGGATATATCTGCCGTATGCGTTTTTAATCAAGCGCCGCCGCGTACTACACTAGACGCGGGCCGCATACATATTCATATATATACGCGGCGATACAATACATAAACTCGCTCGGGACGTCTGTATTATGCCGGGGCTTGACCCGAGTACGGATCGCACAAATCCTTCGCTCGAATCATCGTTCGTACACGACGACCCATTGTTATAAATTCGCGACCAATTTCGATCGTTGACTCGCTTTCTTCTCGCTTCTCTATCGCTCCGATACGTATACCGCGATGATCCGCGCGATCCAAAGGGTTTGTACGATATCTATATAATGTAGGAAATTCCATCGGGCGGAATGTACCTACTAAAACTGCTGCGGAATCGATCGCGCGCTAAATCCGGACCCTACTGTACGCGCGAGTCGGTCAATTTTAGTCCAAGTGACCCCTATATATACTATCTATCTAGCTCGTAAATCGACGAGTCGAGTGGCGGCTTTTAGCTCGCTCGCCATCCCCCCGCGCTCATCATGTTTCTCGCAACGAGCGATACACAATAGAAATAAAGAAACAAGCAAAAAAATAAAATAAAAAGTAAGTAACTCACCGTCGGTATTGACGATCGACACGTAGGTCCAGTTGAAGTGTCGCACGAGATCGACCAGTAGCTGCGCCTGATAATAGTCGGACGGCACGACCCTCAAGAAAGTCGAGTATCTGCTCTTGTCGCTCAGGTCCCTCGAGGTGCACGAGTAGCCGATCTTAAAACACGGAGAGAGAGAGAGAATCATGATCGCGTCGTTCGGAATCCGAAACGAGTACAGAGAAAGAGAGCTATTAAAACTCGAACGAATATAAACATCGCACTGTACTCCGCGGGTGGGCATCTCTCGCGTATTTTCATTTTACGTATACAATCAAGTCTGAGCGCGCGAGAAAAGAATTTCAAAGAGCTACGGCAGTTAAATTCTCGGTGCAGTTTAGGCGTACTATATATAGCGGAGTTCGCTCAACGCGAAGTAATATTTCCACGCGCGAGAGTGAGTGAGAGAGAGAGAGAGAAAATAAAGCAAACAGCACGTAGTTTTCCACGCGCTATACATATATTCACTCACGTCTTTTACCGTAGAGAGAATTGCTCGCGCACCTTCTCTCTCTCTCTCTCTCTCTCTTCTAAGCAATGTTTATTTTCGTAATATAGGTATAGAAACGTATGCACGTGTACACTCGTAAGTGCAGCACGCGCATCGATTTTGCTCGAGAATAAACTCTCCGAATGCTCTCTTTCTCTCGCGCGGGTGGGTGCACACACACACACACGTACGAAATCGGCGCGATATGTATATAAATATGTATTCAGCACCGGGGCACTTACCTGTGGAATCGAAAACAGCTGCAGCAAATTTTGTACCTGAAGCGCGACGGAACTCGAGCCGGGCCCGACTACGCCAATCAGCGGTGCATTTTTTTCCAAATCCTGTGCGAAGCAACACAACACAACAAATTGTTTACATTCGAAATCTGTATTTATATAATTTTATACAATGTTTACATAATCATTTCTTTATATATAATTGTCTCGAGATCAATGGAAAAATAATTATGACGCCCAGAGGCTTCCGCGCGCGCGTAGATCTCTAAATGGACTCTGAAGAATCTACATCTTATTTACATGTCAAAGGGACGAGGGCGAACAATGAGACTCGTCCCCCGCGAGCTCGAAGCACAATATAAAGTGGCTTTCATTAAAAAAGTCGTTACATCTTGTGCTTGTGTCTTCGAGAAACCGCTTATACATATTATTTCACTGCGCCTGCGAGCCTCTTTATGTCATAATAATTCGAGCCCGCGAGTAAGAAGGTTGTAATTTCTTTGACGTCGCTCGTCATTCTGCGACGAAGATTTTGCGGAGGCCAATGAAATTTACAGCATTATTCTATGTTCTCTGGTAGAAATGCACAGCGTTAATTGTGGACTATAATGACGAAAAATTATAATTTAAATTGTTTAAAAAACTGACTCGTTGTTGGTAATTTTTTGGTTTCAATGATGTTACAAAGGTCAAACGCGTTTGAAATGACTGGAAAATTCTTATTCAATCGTTTCCAAAAATTTAGATCAGTTTTGTATCACTTTCAACGCGACAGTGATTTAAGCTTTCACCACTAGATGGCGAATACACCTTTATCCGTAAACCCGCAAGTGGCAAAGTCAAAATAATTGTATAAGTAAGTTGTAATCAAAACTATCTATTGTCCAACTTTACATTTTTGTGATCGACATTTCTACCAAATTCATCGTTAATTGGAAATAAAATACGAAGACGAAAGGACAAATTTAGCTCTTTAATCGTATAATATCACGATATGCCTTACCACTGCTGCGTCGGCGACGCAAGAATCCGACTGCTCGGCGACCTTGACGATGGCCGGCGTGATGGCGTCCCTGACGAGCTCGATGCTCTGCTGAAGCGCCACCGGCGCGAACCAGCACGAGTCGCGCGCCTCCAGGCCAAGAGTCACACCTATATAGTCATACGAAAAATAAACATTTATTTATTTTTTTTTTTTTCGAGTGTCATAAATAGAGCCGTAATTACCTCTGAGCACTTCGGTACTGTTGTTGATCTGATCCAGGGTCCAGAGAGCCGTCTCGATCCTCTGTATGCCGTAGAGCTCGCGTATGGCGCCGCAGACGAGGCCGCCCGAGCGGCCGCGCGGCTGATGATGCACGCTGAACAGGGCGCCGACGATGAAGTCGCCCCTCACCCGGGCCGACTGCTGGCTCATGGAGACCTGCTGGCCTCGGATCATCCCTATCGCGGTAGCTAGAGCGAGGACCAGCTGAAACCAGCTACTACTGCCTCCGCTTCGTGTCATGGTCGTCGTAGTCGTTCTAGACGATCGTCCGGGCTGACGTCAGGTTTTCTCGCAGCCGTTTCTCCTCTGCATCATCTCGCCCGCGAGACGACGTGCGGTGAGAGCGGCCGGGTCACCGGGTACCGCTGCGGCGAGGTCCGAGTTCAACGGCGATGTTGGGTGCTACCTGCTGCTGGAGTCGCCGATCATGGGTCAGCATAGTCCGCGTACTCGGTCAACGGCTCAATTTTCCATGATCATCCGTGTACTGTGAAAATATTCAATGGGTAATGTTTATTGTATGCAAACTTTACGAAGTTTCGAGGTCGTTACACTTTTGACCTTATCTCTCTCTCTCTCTCTCTCTCTCTCGCTCGCCCGCGGCGACGAGGCAAAAAAAGGGTTTTAGCCCCGGAAATTTTCCGATCTTTCGAATGCATCGCTGTGCGCGCGCGTACAACGGCGATCGTCGTAAACAATTTATAATATTATAATACATAAAATATATATTTATCGCAGACGCGGTGTATACGCTTATTTTGAATAATACAATATGCGCGCAGATATGTACGCGCAGATATACGCTAAATTTTACGATTTTCCTCCAACGCGCGTATGCGGAGCGCGCGTTGTCTTTGTTTGGGAGCCGATTTCCCAAAACTCGTTTCGATGAGGAAAAAAAAAAGCAACGATATGTGTATATAGTGCGCTTGGCGAATTATGTCTGCAGCGTTATCTTTCCGAGTACGCGACAGCGCATTGTAATACGTACACGATCAATATTTGTTCGAAAAATTGATACACGCGGGGGGCGACTCGAGTGCATATTTAAAGAGGTGTCGAATGCTGGTACTCTTTAGTTTTTTTTTCCATTCGCGATAGAAAACAATTAGTAATTGCCCGATCATGAATTGTTTGGTGTATTTGGCATTCGTGGTGGCCCTCGTCATGTGCTTCTACACTGATCTAGCTCTTGGACAAGGTACGAAACTTCATAAATTTTTCGAGTTTATAGTGGATATAATTAATTCGATATCGTACTGAAAAAAAATTGAATGATAATTAAACAGGTGGCTGTGGCTGCGGAAGAACTTGCCCACCGAACAATCCCAATTGCTTCACGATCTGCGACTGTCCGAACAGGCCAACTTCGTAAAGATCATCGTTCGAGCTCTTAATTCGACAATATATGTTTTATTCATTATCTTTTATTCAAACGCAACCGCATAAATTCTTAATGCAAAAAAATTAATATATAATTTTCATCACGAGCTTGCGCTCGAAGTGTATAATATGTATCGAATAAATCGACGAGACTCCCAGACTGAAATTCCGCTCGGCGCTTTTAATTTATTCACGTACTCTTTGGGTGGAAATGCGATCGATCCTTTGACTTTGATACAAAGTACAATGAACAATATAATACCGCATCGCAGATGTCTGATATTAATAATGATAAATTATTACAAGTGGCCTACGTAACATTCGTTCTTGCGTTAAGACTATTTTTCATTATTAAAGAATCCGCGCGGTTAAATTGCGGCATGAATTTCCAGGATCGTCGCGTGCATCGAGTGCCTAGTACTACTACATGGCGCGGCACAAAGGAGAGTATCGGAAGTTCATCATAGCTCGTTATACAAAGTTGCGCGTCGAGCACACGGGTCGAAAAGCAACTCCGCTCCGATATCGCGGCTCGGTATACCGAATCAAAGACTCGCGCGCTGCGGGCGGAATCGTCGCTATATATATGTATAGCAGAGAAGGAGTTTGAGACGTCCGAGCTGCTGCTGCGAGAAGAGAGAGATAGAAGAAGAAGAAATGCGTCGACGTCGTCGTCGCTTGGCCGCTAACGAGTCGCGTCGCGTCGGTCAGCGTATATAGAGCTGTGTTTGCACCGAGTCACGTTTGGAAAACGTCGTTACGGGGCGTTGCACAATTAAGCAGATTCAATTTACAAACGTATATAGATATATCTTTAGCTCGTTTTCCGAGTGTTTATCCTCGTAAAAAAAAAAGGAAAAGATTTCGCAGAGATCTTCCTTTATTTTAACACGGGATGTAAGCGACAGCGATAGCGCAAGCACACGATGCGGAAACGATACGAGCGAAGAGAGAGGTCGACGTACGCGCAAAAACCCGCAAAAGAGGAGGCTCTTTCCGGTACGATTGCGAGGCGAGCTTTTTTCGACGGAATAAAGTCCTCGCCGCGCGATAATTATTTCATTCGATCGTATATGTATTTACGTTATAATTAATTATAATTGCCCGAATAGTTCACCCGCGACTATATATTAATAATTACGTGCGCTATTTTTAACACTTTGCGACGACGATACAAACGAGAACGGGGAAAAAATTCGACGATCGTGAGAGAGTACATTATATACGAGAAATGCGTGACAATGGAATAACGAACGAAACTTGCAATAACAGCGCCACACACTTGACACTCAAAGCTGTGTGTAGTACATAAAGTCGCTCGCGACTGCATGTATCGTCTGCGCGTCGAGGCGCGCACGAATTTATATTCGCCGAGCTTTAACCACACACCACGCGAGCACTTGTCGCTCTTGATGCATCGACAGTTTTGTATACGTATACAACGCGTAAACTGTAAACTATGTCGTCGAAATGATATTACGCGCGCGATCCGATCATCCCTTACGATTGCCGAGGATAATGATACACATTATACATAAGTTTGCACCGAATTTATAATATTTTATTTTCAACTCTTTCTCTCCCGACTCGCGAATGTCCCCTACGAGTGTGAATTAAAAAAAAAATAGGTAGAGTCTTCAATTTTTCATTCGAAACTCCGTCGTTGTATAATTGATAAAATCAGCGGATATGCGGGTTTCTCTCACAGTAGCCACTCGTACGCGTATTATAAGAATTACGCGTATACTTTTTTCCTAATTAGTTCACGCACACACCCACACACTATATATATCGACTAATTAACATTTAACCATTTTCAAGTGGAGCGCGTTGAAATCGACGCGAGAGATCGTCGACGAGAACGCAGAGGGGTGGTGGGTCTGGTGGTGCTGGTGGTGTTATAACGTCGTTACGAGACACTACAGAAATACTTAACACGAAAAAAAGAGAAAAAAAAGGAAAAATACCCTCTCGGTATCTCGAGGCGCGGATGTGTATATATAAAACCCAAGATTTGGCCTTTGTTAGCTTTTATGCGCGCGAGATACGAAGGGCCGTATATAACGTTTGAATTTGTAATTCACCCACCACTCGAAATTACGAGAAGAAATGATAGCGTTACACGAGGCATTAATGAGGAAATGTACGCGACGATTAAACTAGACACATTTTTCCCGGACGAATCACGAACGCTATATGTCGATGCGCCGAAGCCGTGTATTGTTATATGCGAATATCCCATCTTTCGCGAAGTTCAACGTAGTCCGTGAGTTCATTTGCGTAAATCAAAAACTTGTGTAAGTCCATGAAAAATTAAGACTCCGCGAGTAATTTGCATGATGAAATTCCGACAAGTTATCTCTCTCTCTTTGCCCTTTTTTGTACTATACATAAAATATAAATTTTGAATAGCTACTGCGCATAAAATCGTATTAAAATAAAAAGAAAAAATTGGCCAAAGATAACGTGAAGTATAAACGAGAGTATATATTATATATAGCTGCTATAGGCAATCTCATCTTGAATTAAAGTGCTATGTGTATCAGAAAAAAAGCTATATCGTTTACTTAGTCGAGATGAGCTTGATTCGTTGCTTATATTATTATATAGGAAGAGGTATATACTATATACGCCTGAAAAGATATTTTTTTAACCCTCTCTCTCTCTGTTGCGAGTATATACCTTCCATCTTTATGAATTCGAGAGCTTGCGAAAAAAAGGACGACGATCGGCGCGAGCGAGTTTTATTTACGTCCTACATCGACGCGACGCTGATTGATTGATCAGCCAAATAAGCTTCGGAGGAGAATTTCGTTACCATGTATAAGCTCGGCGAGCTGTCGAAGCTGCCTTGGCTGTATATATGTACATCGGACTGTAATTGCGAGGCTTAACTATACCTGCATTATGCCCAACGACGTAATTGTATCCGCGCGCCGACGACGACGACAATAATTTATCCGTCAAAGCTGTTGTTGTTGCGTCCTTCGGGCGGTCTGATGAATGCGCGCGATGACTACTTAATCCTATAACTATATGTATGTATACGTCGCGCACAGCTCCTTCGCGCGTGATTGGCTATATAATGGTCAATCGAGAGCTGCGGGAGGATTCGTTGTTTTTTTTTAACCGGATATTTTCACTCGTGAGATACTCCGATTACGAGAGAGAGAAAGGAGTCGAGGGTTAATTTTTTCGGTGTCGAGTGGTCGTCGCGGGGGAAAATTGTAAGCAACGACGAGCATTTTTATTTATTTTATTTTTTTAATATAAAAAAGCTTTTTTTTAATTACTCGATCGAATCCACGATAAAGTAGGCTCTTGCTGTTTTGCGCTTGACAGGTAGTTATAACGAGATACAATTTGCGGCCGCACTCAAAAAATAAACATTTTATCCTCGTTGACCCTTATAATTTATAAATGAATATTTGACGT